TGCTCTGTGCAGACCATTTGGGATTTATGGCTTGATCGACTTCTCGTTGAAAAACAACGTTGGTGCCACGTCGTTCGACAAGTTCCCTTCGACATATCTCAACGAATTTACCCATACATACTGCTTTGACGAACAACCGGTAACGATCTGCGAAATTGATCGGCCGAATTAGTCCGTGTCTCCTTTGAAGTTCGCTTGGTCGGGCATTCTGGATCCATCGCGCATAATCTTGATTCTTTCTCCATCGATGCTTTTCATTAAATCAAGCCCGCCTGCGCAATTCTATTTTTAGCGTTCAGCAGTGAGAAAGAAGTCGTTATCTCGCGCTGTTATCTTCCGCGACGTTAGCGGGACAATTACGGATCAGTCGATAGGGACGGCGAAAATCGCGTCTTCAAAAAGCGTTCATTTGGAATCAAGTTCAACAATAATCACCGAAACTGTGATCGATGTTTTTAGAGGTGTAACAGCCGGTATCGTGCTTAAGAATTGCAATCGCGCGTCATCGGTACGTCACCTCCTGTCTTCTGCGTTCAAGCCTTCTATATGCATCAAAAATTCTACACGAAAAAACTATAATATTTTCTCCACGTAACAATCATATCGTAATAAATAAGACAAATAAAAGAGCGTACCCACAACCATGATTGGCTGTTACTTGTTCTATTAATTAATATATTGTTTTAATTTCAGAGCTTTATATTTATTCTAACAATTATATTATATCTTTCGGGCCAAAAGAGAATAAAAGTATTCATTACGCGCTGCAGCTTCGACGCATAGTCAGGTTCAGTTTAATTGCTTCGCGTTCGCGCGTTATCGATCGCTCGTTCGTTCATTCGTTGGTTGATTGGTTGGTTGGTTGCTTCAAGGCATCAATTAACGCCGTGGGTAACATTATTATCGTAACGATTCACCGTCGTCGTGTTACAAGCCGTCGAGCCTTCCAAGTCGCCAGCTTTTCGTCGAGGGTGGCCGGTTCAATTTCCCATTGGCGAATATTTCCCGACCCTTCCATCAACATCGCGGAGGATCCCGCTCGAGGGAGTCGGTTTACCCTTTTGGACTTCACCCCGACTCGATCTCGGAACAAATTTCCGCTCGGCTATTTCGCGCAGAACCAACGAACGGGCGAAAGAGAAGGACTATCCATTTTGAGCGTAAAACTCCGCGTGGACTGCTCGACCGTTCATGTTCCCTCGCCCAGTCGATCGAATTTTCCTCGACGTCGAGAGTAAGAAACGACTTGATGACTCAATACGAATTACGCGTTGCGAACGCAATGAATTTTCCTCATACGTCGTGGTAATGCGCACTTTTTGGTGTATATTCGCAAATTATTTGGCGGAACGTTGCGAGCCTCCTCGCGAGTCTCTGCGAACATCAAGTGGTGGAATATTTTTCATTGCGTCGTTCTCGAGCCGAATCGCGCGGATCAAGGTAGAACTCGCGGATATTCTCATAAGTACACTTATCGGTGTCTTCAATCAGCATGTGTACTGTGACGTAGCAGCTCTTTACTCGATATCTCGACGTGCCCTCGATCGTTCCGTTCGATAAGCACACAGTAGGTCGTATTCCGTGACACACGCGTGAAATCTCTCTCTCTCTCTCTCTCTCTCTCTCTCTCTCTCTCTCTCTAAAATCTAAAATCTTTCTATCTCTCTCTTTCTCGTAGATTTTCGATATCTTGCTTGACCCAATAAATCAATATTCAATAATAATTTATACATACTCGCCGACATGCTCGAGTTGACGAGAAAAAGACGAGTGTGATGGAACAGGTGTACATACTCTCTAAATTTCTTGTGGTGAAATTTCACTCGAAAAGTAGAGTGACCGCCGAATCATTCGGGTCCTCGACTTATTTTTCGCTCCTGTACTGTGAATTCTCCACTCTGAATCGTCGAGTAAGTGTCTTCACTCTGAAACTGAAGAGCGAGTCCGATGTGTTCCGCCGTCAAGAGGGACATGCTCGCTCCAGTCGATCGGAACATTCGCTCATACGGAATCAGAATCCACTCCAGTCTTGCGTGAAACACTCACTATTGCGATTTCGAGTGGCGGTATTTTCGCTATATCGCCTCGAGTGAAAATACCGCCACTTCTCGCTCGCTCTTAGCGAGATTTCACTCCGAGAAATTTAGAGAGCGCGAAAGAAAAGTTTCATATTGTGTTTAATCTCTAAGACGACGACAATCGCTCGCGGCCACCTCGAAGGCCATCGCTCTTCACGTATCAGATTATCAGATAACTCCCTTTAATATCTGTACTTTCCGCGCGAGGCGTCGCGTGCGAAAGTTTTCCAAGTCCCGCGTTCGACTTGCCGCGACAATTCGCCTCCGGTTAGGTTCGTCATTATGTAATAGACATCTGAGTCACACGGACGGGAACCACGTTTACAATTCTCCGGGCATTATCCGGTCGCCGTGGTCGTCGTCTAGTCGCGATAATCCGCGCGATTGCGAGGTCTCCCTGCGTATCTATCGCTTTTATTGCCTATATCGTTACGATTGCGAAACGTGTCGACAGCGCCGTCGGCCGCACCAAGCTTCATTTTCCCGTCTCTTCGACCAAAAATGAGAAAGACCGGGAAAGCCTGTGTATACACGTGTGCCGCTTGTCGCTTATCGATACGTGTGTGACTGTGTGCCGCCCAGCGGAGAAGTGTGCATAGGTACGCGGGGAACAATCCGGTCGTCCGGATCCCGCTTCGTTCTTGCGGGTTCTGGGTTGTCTCTGTGTGTGATCACGTGTTCAGTGACGCCCGTCGTGTACCCGGCGTGTGCCACATTTTAAAACGCACGCGTCTTCTTCCTGACAGAAACTAAATCCCCCGAGCAGAGTTGTCATCGACCGATCGGGCTACTGAATCGATGTTGAGGACTTGTCAGCGCTCAGTCCGTTACCAACGAACAATCGTCGCGCGACGCGACCGAGGAGAAACTGAAGAGCAGCTACTGGCGGTCCTTGTCTTCGTGGCTACGTGAAAGAGAGAGAGAGAGAGAGAAAGAGAGAGAGGTAAAGAAAACAGGACTGAAAGAAAGAGCGAACGCGAAATACCTCGACCATGGACGATCAAGAGAGCCCGTTCGTGCGGTCGCAGGCCAGCAGGAGCCTGATCCGGCCGCAACCTGGTGGACGAAAATTCCTGCTTTCCCCGGCTGAAAGGGCGCGCCAGTTAGCGGCGAGTCAGCAACAGACGCCGGAAATGAAGAGCCCAGGTACTCCGAAGCGATTGTCGGCGGCGCACATGCCTTTGGAGAGTCTGAAGCAGTGGGAACTGGTGGAGGACGATAAGGGTCTGCAGGTGGTTGAGAAACGAGCTGGCGCGCCTCTGAGTCCCATCAGGCCGAAGGAGACAATCGCGGGGTCGTTATACAATAATACTCCCGTTTCCGTAAGTCAGTTTAACGAGAAGAGCGCGATGGGCGCCAGTGTGGTGAAAAAGCTGAGGATGTTCAACTCGAAGAACGTCCAACCGATCGGACTTATGCTCGAGCAACAGCAGAGGGAACAGCCACCGCCCACGACGACGGAACTGAAGACGCCACTCAGTCTCGATCTGATCCTGAAGCAGCGCACCAGCTCGATCGCCGAGAGCACCGATATGCTGCAACGGCTGGAGCAGCAGGTCATGGCTATCGAGCTAGGCACGATCGCCGGGAGGACGCGTCAGTTGGAGAACAGCTCCGATTTCGAGCCGGAAGTGCAGCTGAGGTACAGAGAGCACGAGGACCTGCTGCGGAACGTGACCGACGACGAGGCCGAGGGGTAAAAACACATTCTGTCTCTCCATCAAGTCAGTCTCATCTACACGCATTCGACACGCGCCCACATACACATACTCACACATACACACGCACGCGACACACAAGCACGAACGTCAACACGGCATCGTCGATACCTCTTCTACGCGAAACACGTCTAATTTCGAACTTTCTTCGGAATCGCGGTGCAGATTTCGCGAAATCACACGTTTGAAAATTATCATTCCTCGAGCCACGATGAGATTCGAGACAATCGCGTTGGTCGGATGCCAAATTCCTTTGAGAGAAGCAGAAACGAAAGTTCTAACAATGAGATCCCGAGGATGGTTTCATTTTCCTCTCGATGGAGTCTCGAGAGATTGATTACGCCTCGGAATTTAATATTGATCGCGTCCGCCCACGCGAGCGTCTTCAATTTTCGCTAATCGTCAGTCGGAGGTCGGAGTCACGGCATTTCAATCGGTCGATATCCGTGGGAACGTGTACACACACGCACACGTACACACGGGCACTCGACTCTTCACCATACTTTCAGAAAGCAACGATAATTATATACTTAATAATGATATAATTGAGAAAATAACCATCCAACCTCCACCTAATCCAGCACCTTGTCGTTACCGGTTTCCTACACTTGATTGGCACAATTGGTTGTTCGTTACGCCCACGCGTGTCCCTTTCTTCGATACAATTGGCATTTAGTTTACGCAATGTCACAGCGGCCGATTCATTCTGTGATTTCCGTCGGTTCGTCGCCATTCATTACACACCCAGCCGGGAGAGAGATCGGGGGAGCGGAGCATGTCGCGCAGATGTTTCGTTGGATTGGTGTACCGGGTGTACACTGAACAACTGAAGAGTATTACGCGTGTAACAATTGTCTGTGAACAAAAATATCCGGCACAGATTCATGTAAAGTATTATAATGTTAAAAATATCTGGATATAAAGGTGAAAGTATCAGCGGCCGTATATCTAGTTCTGGACATTCTTATTGTTTGAGTCTTGAAATACCGAATATTTAACATAAAAAATATATATATATTTTTTAGACACAAAGTTTCCTCTCTGACAATTTGTGACACATCTCGTTATGCACAGGTAGAACTCGTAAAACTGAACAAAATTCCTTTGCCGTTTCGCAAACAGCCATAAAATCTTGAATTATTAATTGAAGAAGAATTGATGAATGATCACGCGTGACAGATGAGCCATGATGGTGACATCTGCCGCCAAACTGAATAGAAAAGTTCTCTACTATTTTGCACCAGATGGTGTCACGTAGATTTCTAGTTATTGATTACAGAAAATTGAGTATAGGATTAGTTCGCGATAATGCACTAAGTCTCTTTGTTTAATAACTGAAAATACACATGAAGGTTTGCTAAATGGTAAAGACCAAAACAATAAAAATATCCAGAATTATGTCCGGGAATTGGTACTTTGACAGTTTCCGAATTATGGGCGATCGAACTTATATTTGCAGGCAAAGTGGATAATAACGAAAAGTGGCTATTCGCTTTATTCCCAAAATTTGCTTTGACAGATTCTACCTCAATTGAAAACTCAGAAACTCGTATTAATAATTGTCACCTGAAATTTGTCTCATATGCGAGAAATACTCAGATTTCTATACAGTCAGGTCCAAATTCTTCAATATTATAATTCTATGAATTATAATATACGTGACATCTGTATCTGTGATCGCGAGTCAACTGAAAGATTCTCTCGTCTAACTCTGAATTCAAGTCCCAGTGTGTCACTTGAGACGAGGTTAAGTGATAATTATTAATGCGGGCGAAATGCACCGAGATATCCGCCATTGAAAATCGCAGAGACATGCAATCATGCCTCCGAAAAAAACCTCTCTCTCAGGTCACTCGACGAACGATCAGACGCATTATCATCCAGCACGACCCCGCACAAAACACTCAAATTGCCAAACAAAAATTCACACCCGTTCACTGATAATCGCCGTGTATACAACACACGCGACACCGTGTCATCCGAAAACACCACACGATACGAGAGAGAATTGTCAACTGTATCGTAATGAAACGTCAACGAAGGGTCTCGTCGCTGCATCGCGGGGACGCGACGCGGAATTCCACCGGGAACACCGGCATCGCGCCGAAGAAGCCCACCGTTAAGTTGTCCAGGACCGCTTCGGACACGCGGCGAGAAGTGGAGATGCCCCTCCGGGGTCAGTCCAGGATGCAGCAAGCTCGCACGTTCGTTCGTCGCCCGCAAGTTTGCACGCCGATCGTCACCAAGAAGGATCATCAGCGTTATCATCATCTGCAGCAGCAACAACAGCAGCAACAGCAACAGCAACAACAGCAGAACAACTCGGCGACCATTCCTCTCAGGCCGTTGTCGGACATCATGCAGAAGGGTGTTCCGAATGACAAGGAGGTATATACGTACAGCATATATAACACACGCGTACAGCGGATATATCATAACGAGTTATCGCACAAAATCGTTATCAGACAAGCGATAATCGGCGTTATCGACGGCCGTTTCGCCGATACGGTCAGCTTCTATTGTACGAATTGCGGAGAGTCGGAAAGAAAGAGAGGAGGTCACTTCGTACTTTGTTTAATTTCATCATGATTGAGAGATACGATCTCGTTTCAATTACACCAGAGGCGGCTCTTCCTCGGCGACAATTAACGTTTCAGTCGCGCACTGAGGACAAAGCGCTTGATAATTTATTCGTGGGTGGGCGAGTTTATTCGCAGAATAAGCAATTTATTCGTGGATAAGTTTATTCGTAGAAATTAATCTTATATATTTCGCAGAAATAGAAAAACCTTGCCTTTCGCAGAAATAAACTTTACGTCCCACAAATAAGTTTGCAAGTATTTCTTTTTTCTCAGCGCGATAATCATGAAGCATATTTGTGATGCTCGAGTATATCATATGTGGATGATAAACGCGAGCCCTCAATAGAAATAACGCGAGTCTATCGGGAACGATCGTGTGCCGATCGCGACCGTTCGCAAGGCTTCGCGATCTCATGTCGTGTATCGACAAGGCGGCTAACCCTCGAGCTAACGAGTCGAGTGCAACGAATGGCAACGCGTAAATGCACCTCCGCGCTTACGTCATATATGACTTGTCGGTGCAGTCTGCGGCTCATCCGTTCGGCCTGAAATAATCCGGATGGCTTCCCCCCCCCCCCCCC